ATATATATATATATATATATATATATATTATAGCACTCACTTGAATGCCTGAAGATGGTCTTATGTTGACCAAAAGCGTTGAACGCAAACGTATCTTCTTTTTCGGGAGGTTATTTTTCTTCTCGGTTGAGATTGTGCTTTCATCTTCTTTCCCATGACCTTCAAAGATATCAAATACGCTTTTTGTAAATAGACACTTTATTATGTTTATGTAGATTCGTCAACTGTTCGTGCTATAAAACTTTACTTTCTATGTATGATACAAATATAACTGAATAAAGAAACTCGAATACTTTTAAATAAAAACGATTCGTAAAATGGAATTTGAGGTAACTGAAGGTCGAACGTGTTATAACTTTTTACAAATTTTTTAAAGCGTATTGGAAATAATGAAATCGCATAAATAAAATAGTTATTGGAGTTCGATGCGATTTTTATAAATTTTTTGATATTTGATACTTTTTTATAAAATTTATAACAAAGTTGTGATTAGGGGTGTAAATGATGCAAGTCGGGCTCGAGTATCACTATACTCGATTCGAACTCGAAACCCAATTTCCAAGCTCGAACCCGACTCGAACACTCGCGAGTAGTAAAAATTAAAGCTCGACTCAAAATCGATAACTATTTCTCAAGCTCGAACTCGAAACAAGCTCGAACTGCAACTCAAATCAAGCTTATCCATTGAAATTTATGAAATATTAGGATCTTTTTCTTATAAATTTTTAAAACTTAAAGATGTTCAATTAATTTTTATAAAACTAAAAGGATCAACTTCAAACTTTACATCAAAAAGACAAAGTTAGAAATTTCATTCACCTCCCTCTCTTTTTATGACATTTTTTCTTCCTTCATTTAACATCTCTATTCCAATGTAGAACAATTTCACTAATTTTTTTATAGTTTTTCTTTGTCATTTTTTAATTGCGATTTTAATAAAAAAAATAATTGATTAATTTTTATAATTAAAAAATACATAGTTTTGTTTAAATATCTAAAAATACAAGACATTTTTAATATCTATATTTTACAAATTTTATCATAAAAACTAATTATATTTTAAAACTAATTATTTATAAAATAATCGAGTATCTCACGAGCTTTTCGAGTCGAATATTGGGTAGTTTGACTCGACTCGTTTATATGTCGAATCGAGCTCAAGTTCGAGCCAAGCCTATTCAAATCGAGCGTTAACCGAGTCGATCTCAAGTAGCTTGCGAGTTGTCTCGTATCATTTACACCCCTAGCTGTAATGAAGATAGTTTGAACAACTCACCATATCTGCGGTCCAGATACCTTGATAATCCAGCTTGGGTGACACCTAATGCGACGTCGTTAATAGTCTGTAAAATTAAAAGAATAAAATTAAATAAAATTTGTATACAAATAACATATATCTCAAAAATTGTAATCCTCTTTACGAAACAAAAGTTATATGTAAAAAAGTTTCACATTGTAAACTGTATATATTATGAAATAAATATAGCTTAATAATTTGAGAACTTCTACCTTAAAATTTTGTTTTATATAAATTCTTAACATCTAAATATAGTATTTAATATATTAATTAACATATATTTGTTTTACAAAATGTATGTTTCATATATATTTGATTCACAATGTCAAACTTTTTTTACGTGTATTTTTGTTTTACAAACACGTCAAAAAGGTTCACATTGTGAACCAAATACATGTAAAACAAACGTATTATAAAATAAAAAATTGTGTTAATCAGTATATTAAATTCTAAAAAAATATATATTAAATCTCACTATATACATTATCAAATGATTAATTCAATAGTTAAAAAAACGTGTCTCACCGTATTCATTGCATTCTTGATGAGCTTCATATCGTCAAGACTAACCGTCCGGTGAAGGAATCTCCTCGGAGTAAACTCAGCCCCCGCCGGAGCTTTTAACGGCGTTTCAGTATCTGTCAAGAACACCGCCGTCGCCATAAAACACGTCACATCCACCAACGTATTCCAAACCAACCAGAAAACCATGCAAACCGTCATGAACCACCGTCGCCACCACGGGCCTCCACCACCGGAGCTGGAGCTGTAGTAGGAAAACCAGCCGGAATTCTTAGTCTTGCTGGTGGGGATGGTGGGGACGGCGTCGGGATTAGAGATCTGGCGAGTACAAGCAAGTAGCAAAGACATGAGGGAGGTGCCGTCGCCGAGGGAGTGGTGGATGCGGAAGATTCCGATGGCCACCGCATCGGAGGTTTTAAGGTTGAGGAGATGGAGATCCCACATGGGTTTTGAAGAATCAATGGAGGTCTTGCTGAGATTGTAGACATAATCTTGGAGGAATTTATCAGGGGACTCTAGGGTTTGTGGGATGGTAGGGATGATGATGTGGTCGTGTAGATTTACATTTGTTGGAACCCATTTCATTCCGCCATTTTTGTCGTCCACAACCTGCAAGATGGTGGAAAATTACAGATTTATAAAAACGACATCGTTAAGATGACAATTGAGTATTGACTATTTGACCATTACACAAAATGCACAAAGGACCGGTTATCTGAATTCGGATCTAAAAACTTGTATTATTATTGTAGTTTTTAAATATATACGTTAACATATTTCACGACCCTACAACTTTTTATCTCACTACGGTGGAACAAAAAGGTGACATGTGACGATAAAATGTTGTGATTGTAAAAAATCAAACATTCACAACATAAACATTGTGAATGTTATTTTTACAGTGTTTTGGTGGGAAGTTTCAAGTGTAAAAATGTTGGCTTGCAAAAACAATTCTCGTCTCAAAAATTACAAGTCATACACATATAACCATTTTTTATTTTTAATAAATGAACTTATAAAATTCATCGACTACGTATATAATCCAAATAACCATCATTACGGATCGTATTTTTTTCTCGGTAGAAAAAAAAATTAATTTATAAAAATAATAATGGTGGTTTTATCTTAAATAAAAGTCATATTTCTTGTGAAATGTCTATTAAAAACGTATATTAAATTTTAGATAAATGTTCAAATATATATTATGAAAATAAAGTGTCAAGCCAAATACAGTATTACCTGCAAACTGGAGAACCGATGATGCTTAAGCAAAGTCTGTGGCAACTTCTCGTACGCAACACGAGGGTCAATGGGGTTCTTGGAACCCATAATAGCTATGACGTGCACGTTGAAATTTGGTTCATGGAATAAACGTGCGGATGGGCTCAATGGTTCCTCTTCACCACTCACGATCATATACTGGTTGTCAACACCATCGTCATCGTGGCTGACGCCACCACCACCATCATGGTGGTTGCTAATGGTGGTGGTAGGGTTTCTTTTGGTGATTTTAATAGGTTTTAAAGCTGTTTTTCTACGTGTTATTCCCTCTATAAGAGACTCCATTGATAATCTTTGAGTTCATAGGAGAGGTCGAATCCCTTTATAAAGTATTCATGTGGGAGTAACAAATATTGTAAATGGTTGGGGGCATAAGAGTCATAAATTCGAATAAATTATTGTAACAGAATCTGGTTTTTATGATGCTGTTGTATGACTTCTTTCGAGAAATATCAGATAAAAAGACGCATAAGATGATTTACTTATCGAGTCATATTATATTTTATAAGGAATTCGTTAAGTTAGGATAAAATTTTGTTCAGTTATTCAACGTACGTTTGTAACTTCTTTATATAAAAACCACAGATTCATATTAAATACTACAATAGAATGTCTGTTAACGTCATAACATGTCAATCTTATTGTAAAAGGTTTATTGGCGGGGACCTCATTGCCCCGTGGTCCACATTTTGTGAGCCCTACTTGCCATACCTCATAAGCAAGCACCGGAAAAGACAACATGTCCTCCCCTGGAATCGGACCTTTGCGGGCACGCCCAAGGCAAGACATTTACGGAAGGAGGTACCCATCAATTAATTGACTAGGGTGGGATTCAAACACTAGTCCTCCTAGGAAGTCAAGTGCCCTTGCCACCACTAGACCAACTAGACCTCATGTCAATCTTATTGTAGTACATATGTACATGGATCAGGGACGGACCCAAAAAAAATTCAAACGGTGGCACCTTTTGACTATAAGAAACAAATGTACATAATTTTTTTTTTCAAACGGTGGCATTATTTGACTAAGAAAATGAGGCTAACAAGATTCAAAATTGGTTCTAGCGTGGAATAAAAGTCTTGCAAACCAACTCTACCAAATAAAACATGTTCTCATTGTAGTTTCAAAATACATACGGTGGCACACCACAAATTAATATGGTTGCACCTTTCACGAACCTAATTTTTTTTACCTTTCGACGGAGGGATAATACCGTGGCACGTGCCACCATATGCTCTGCTATAGGTTCACTGACATGGATAACACATTGGTTGAAATCAAGGGCAGACTAATGAAAGACCCCAGTAGGGTCCCTTGCACTGGTTCTACCAATTTTTGCATGTAGAATTTTTTTAGGTATGAAAGATGAACATGTGAAACTTCGAGGAGTGCTCTGAGATATTATATATAGGGATGGTGATTTACCCCGACCCGGTGGGGAACCCGGTTCACCCGACCCGAACGGAGATGGGGGATGTTACTCAAACCGGGGCCTGGGCCGGGGATCCCCGGTAGAATCAAACTAAAGGAAACTATTTATGGGGTTTTACCGGGGATTGCTAGAGATTTGACCGGAGACGGGATGATAATCCCCGTACCCGCCAGGGAGCGGGGCCGGGGGACGTTACTACAAACCGGGGCCGGGGATTACAAAACCCGCCCCATCATGCCTAATTATAAATACAAAGTAATCAAAAAATCCGAAAAAGTGCAACCAAATCGACCAAAAAAATCTCTTGAAACAGTGGAATACAACTACAAACAAATCGAACGATTTTACAGGCCTTTGATCCACCTTAAATGTGCACCCGTTCGACAAAATCATGTGACCGCAACTTGTTGAAATAAAATATATGAGTATTTATTAGGTATGTAAGCATAAAAATTAGAAAAGGAAGTTGTCGTTGAATGTAAGATGTGAATCCATCCATTTATTTTGTGATCCTCATCTTTATATTTCTCACATTAAATACGTATAATTATTATTTTCTGATGACGTAAAATAAAATAAGTTTGAAAGTTGTTTAATGGTTTGATGTAGAATAATTAAGTAGTTAGAATAATTAAGAGGCTATCATGATATAATGTAAAATGAAAAATATTTGTTTGATAATTGTTTAAAATAAAATTAAGACGCTTAATGGTTAAGGGACGCCCATGATACAAAATCATTCAGAAGAATTTAGAACCATTAAGTGAAACAAAACCTTAAAATAAAAGTTCTCATAGATCTTACAAATTTTGGAGTTCTCAAATTTTTAAGTCCCTATATATATACATCTATACACATATATACATATGTGTGTGTGTATATGTAGAGAGAGAGAGACTTTGGGATCATGTGAGATAAAACTGTTTCGTGAGACACGATTTTTATATTAAAATTTCACAACAAAATACTGTGAATGTAACCTTCACAGTGTTTTTGCAGTGAAGATTCGCCTTCTTTTTACCTTCACAACATTTTGTTGTGAAGTTTCAAGTGTAAAAATCGTGTCTCACGAAAACAGTCTTGTCTCACGTGAATATAGTTTCAAATACATATAAAAGAAGAAAGATAGAGAGAGAGTTTCAAATACAAAGACTCTAACTAGTACATTCATAAATATCTTAATTATCTCAGTGATCTATAGCGTTAATCATAATGAATGAAGTCAATCAACTATGATCATCTTTCATAAATATTCAGATCATAATAAATAAACTCTCATTGTTTCTGTAAAAATCACATTTGATTAGTTTGTAAGGTTTATATTAGTTAAATTGTTTATATATGAAACTCCTTATATATATGTCTGCAGTGGCAGATCCATGTTTTTTGTTCAGTGGGGTCATCTTTAAGATACTAAGGTAGACTAAAGGCCCGCAAAATCGTCCGATGTGTTTTTTACCTAATTACAACGTTTGGAGTGATTTTTAAAAAAAATTGGTTGATTTCGAGGGATTTTTTAGTGTTTTTTGTTCGAGTAACGGTTTCGGTTGGGATGGGAGCCCGTGGAAAAATGTAATGGGGGAAGTAAAAGGTAAATCATGTAAAACCTAAATTTTAACTTTTTTTTAGTTTTTGAGTAGTGTCCCTTCCCCCCTCCCCTTTTTGCTATTGCATCCGCCCCCTGTATGTATGTCTGTGTGGTGATGAATGTAAACATTCATGTATAAAATATAATGATGAAAATACATGTGTATTGAGGGGCGGACCTACTCTATTGGATACAGTGGCACGGACCACTGCTTCATTGCTACGTCGTAGTGTAAAAAAATTTATAGGGTCGTGAAATGTGTCACAATATCATTTTGTTGTGTACAATCATATATATTTTGAAACTACAGTTATACCATAAAACATAGTTGGTTTGCATGACTTTTCTTCCACCCAGACAGGGTTTGAATCTCGTTTGTGACATTTTCTTTGTTTTAACTTTCAATTTCAGATTTATTATATTTCTGAAATTTTTTACAATATAAGACTCGAGCACGAAACCAGACATAAGAAAACACACCAATGATGATTTTATGAAAATATATGTATCTTTATTTCTTATAGTCAAATTATGTCACCACTTGAAAAAAAATTCTAGGTCTGTTTATATATATATATATATAAGTTCATATACATTTATGATTTGACGAAGAATCATGTGAAAAATAAGAGTTAAGGTGAGAAGCGTAAGAAGAGATCTGAACATTTGATCACTTTTAATCTCACTCTCTCCCCCGTGAATTATGTTTATCACGGGAATTGATATAGTATATCTTGATGTACCGCATTAGTGCTGATTTTCAATTAGAATTTATTTAATGATGGAGATATTTTCTTACGATTATCACCATAACTTCCATTCTCACAGAAAATCAATCATTTATTATTAACTAGAATGGTGCTTACATAATATAGCGAGATATATCATAATTTTAATGTTTCATTTTATAATTTATGTATGTCAATATAATACGATTTTTGGTGGTTTTGATAAAACGATAATGTTTTTATTTTTAAATAAAATATAAATTTAAATATGTCATAGAAATTTGGAAAAAATATATATCGGTATTAGCAATAAATTTATTATTTAAAGTTCTGTTTTTTTGTATAATTTCTTTAATTTAATATTTTATTTATAACTTAATTTAAATCTAATAACAAAGTAATTTATTTATCGTTTAATAATATATTTTTTATAAAGATAATAATTAAGTATTTTATTATAACTAATGATTATCCTAATAACATTTTGGATTTTTTATATTTAAAATCAGATGTCTATCTCGTATTTGATTATGTTTATTTATAGTTAGTTACACAAATTCAAAAATAAAGCTTTAATAAGTTATACTTACGCACAGTAATCTTGAATTTTAAGTAATATGCATCAATAAATAGTACTTTATACATAAAAAATAGTCTTTAAATTTTTTTGTCAAATATTTTATAATATAATATAGATATTTATATACGTTGACATTAATAATGAATATTACAAGATAATGTAAATATCAAATATTGGAAAATATATAAATAAATAAAATAAGGGTTTTATTTTAATGGCGGATGTGATTGAAGAAAGCGGTTGTGAAGAGACAGAGATTGAAACCCATAACACATAATAAATTAAGAGATGAAATTACCCATCTACCCTTTTTAATTTTAATCAATAAATGCATTTAATGGGAGTTGCAAGATTAGATTTCATCCATTACCACAATTAGTTCTCAAGAGTTTCTAAAATATTTAATCTTTTTAATTATAGGTGTTTGGGACTGCTTGTTTAAATTGTTTATTAATTTATTGCAGTGTGGTACCGGTAATAAGCAGTTTTAAGTGTTTGAATTAAGAAAAAGAAAAAATGTTTATACCTGTGTCAAACCGATGATAAGGAGTTTTTGATAAGTTACTCTATTTTAAATTATCAGATTCATCTTATTAGCTTTAGAAACCAATTTACTGTTTTAACCCTAAACCAGTTCCTAGTTGCTCCTCCTTCCTCACAAACACAATTCACGGCCTTTCTTCACCTATAGAAACCAAAATCGACCTTCAAGTACAAGAAATCGAAGTTGAGATTGAAACTGGGGGAAAGTGTTTGTTGAACTTGGGTTTTATGATCCACAACGGGAGTCGTCGTTGTCTTTCGCTGCGAGTGTGAGGGTTTTGTGATCCACAGAACCAGTGGGAGTCGTCGTTGTCTTTAACACAAGGAGCAGTTGGTCCTTCTCCTACTTGTTTCACCCATTTTGCTCGTCTGACCACCCATTTATCGTTTCGAATACTGATCCTTCATCAACTT